CAGTTCTCCCCCTCAGTACCTGCAATCTGTGCATGGAAGTATAACAGAAAACGACATCAATTAAAGAGACCAAGTTCACCAAAAAGATCATCCATAAAAAAAAGTACTAAACCATTAACAAAACCAAATAGTAGCAACCCAATCACAGCATCAAAAGCAAATAAGTACGAGGTTCTTTATTACATAAAGACCTCCCTATATCCCTCAAAACACACAAAAGAAGAAATACTACTCCTCATCATCATAGTAATTCGCAATGGCATCATTGGTGCTATCTCCATCAGAGTCAGATTCTCCATCATCCTTCACAGCGGCTTTTCGCTTCTCCCCCTTTTTCGAACTACGGGATGCCGAAGGGCCTGTCCCCGCAGTCTTTCGATTGGTCCCCTTAACCGCCTGCAGCACTTGCTTGAGGTAGGCCTGCTGAGCAGCAACCCGTTTAGCGATCGCGTCCCATTCACCAAGCTGTTGACCCACAAATTCTCCCCAGTTCTTAGGAACCAAGGAGGGAGCCAGTTCCCGTGTGACCTTGGAGGTTCCCTTTTCATTGAGAGTACGAGCACTCACGGTGAATGCTTTGCCAGGGTTCTCAAGAGAGTCTTGATAACGAGGATTAACAGCAAAGTTGTGGGCACTCAAGAAAGACCAAATAAGACAGGGAAAAGGGAGTGTCTTACGAGATTCAATATTTGTAACAAAGGTATGAAGGATATCAAAGAACATGTGCCCAAAACTGAAAATCTGCCCAATCATAACACAATAGATCACTTTACTCTGGGACTCAGTGAGAAGAGTTTTATTGGAAGTTGGAGTCCAATTCCCAGCACCAATCTTATGAAACAGATTGGCAACCAAACAAAGTGAACTAACAGGCAGATTAGAACCAGGCCAAGTATCCAATTGACCAGAAGTAAGAACTTTGGTCATGGTATCCAGATCAACATCAGAAAAAGAGGAGGTATCAAGATCAGAAGGTAGGCCAAGATGAGTGTTAATGTAACACCCCGCTTTTCCATAAACATCAGAGTGCGCAATTCGCAATTTTATTGAAAATAATATCACTTTTACATTGCGAAATACTGATTCGGAGTGCTACTAAAATACATAACTGACTGAAAAGTCTGAAACTTTTGGTTTACAAAAGTTAACTAATACATGACTGATAAAACTAGACGAATTCACTGTTCGCAGAACTGATAATGGACTTCGGTTGAACCAACAGTGAATTGTCAACAGCTTGCTGACTGATAATGGGCTAAGTATGACAAACAGTCAAACATCAGCGGAAGCTGTGGCTGGGAATTTGGTTAGCAATGTCGTAGTCGTGAAAACATTTTATCTGAAAGTAATAACGGCTCTGCTATTCCAAATTCAAACTGTACAAAACATAATTTAATCTTTATAAGCATAAAGCTTAGGTAATTTAAACTTTATAAGCATAATCCCGAACAGCTCCGTCATCTCACTCCTCCGGCCCGACTTCATAACCTGAAAAAAAACATGATAAAACTGGGGAGTGAGCACTAAGGCACTGTGCTCCGTGGAAACTCATACTAATGTAAGACATCGTAAATAATAACAATATCATGAACTAAGCATATATAACTGAACTGAACTGATACCGGTCTGAACTCGAGACCGAAGTCACATACTCGCGACCGAAGTCACGTAACTGAATCTGCTCGGCACAGAACTAATGCCGCTCGGCACAAACTAATGCCGCTATCTCCCGGCACAAACTAATACCGGACCATGTGCACACTCTAGTTGTTAGATTAGGCCACCAGAACCCAGAATGGACCGGCGATCATTCCGAGCGGATACTGAATATACATACCTCAAACATGGTAGCGATATTATAATCAATGTAGTACTTAGTCTGAGTCCCAACCTGAACTGCTGATCTGAAAATGTAAGTGCTGATATCTGCATCCTGATCAAACTGAAAATAATATAAACAATTACTAACTGCTATGCTCAGACTGATAAAATAACTGATTAACATGTTAAGATGCTCTACTGGACTTAAACATGATATCTGGACTTATCCGGTATAACTAGAACTAAACAAACTCGGAACTGGACTGACATGAATTTACTGAATTGGTCTGGACCCGGAATTTAACTGAAATAGATACTTAAATTAAGGACCGGGCTGAACTATTTAAAATCTGAACTAAACTGTATAAATTGGGACTGGACCGGTCCAGCCGGTCTGAACCGGTCTGGACCGGACGGTCGGTCCGCTGTATCGGACTGACGATTGCTGACTTGGCCTGTGGCCTGCCGAGGCTGCGCACATGGGCGCTGTCCGGCCTGACCGCGGGCGCTGGGATTGACGGGCTGACTGCCAGCGACATTGGGCGTGTCCGCTGGACATGACTGGGCTGCGGGCGCGCACTGGACAACGCCCGCAATGCTACTCGATGTTGCTCACAACGCTACCGTGCACGACAACACGCACGCACAGGGCTTGCGCACACGTTGCCCGTGTGCCGTGTCCGCTGGCCGATGCGCAGCTGCCGCTGTGTGCGGCAGCGCGACCACGGCTGATAGTTGCCGGCCTTCCGGCATTAACTCCCGACCGATTTGACTTAAATTAACATCCTCTGTCATGTCTTAACATAATTATTGAATTTTTACTGAAATTAATCAAATCAGGTTTGATTACTGAAGAATTTTCAAACCAAACATGAAACTTAACTCAATTCTACACATAAACACACGCACATCAACATTCCCGGACATAGACGGTCAATCAGTCCGAGACTTCAACAAAAACCTAACTAATTTACTCTTGCATGATCAACTCAGAGGTGAACTCGAATTACTTAATCAATTAATCGCTGAAATAA